TCAAAGCTGGAGCATCATATACAAAAAATGCGAATGCTGGAAGAAGATTTTTTGTGACGAACAGTCAAGCAGGCCAACAAGGAGGGTCACGAAGCCGAAGTGACCGAACACTACAAGAAGAGCCTAAAACGCTGGTTTCAAATCTGACTTCTATCTGCAGAACGCTCTTGGAAAAGAAGTCATGGACGTTTTTATCTTCGAAATTGTCATTGTTTGACTAAACAATTTTTTGAATCCAAAATTCTTAGGTGTGTAGTTCTGGCTATCAGCCTTCAGCAAATTTCTCGCGAATAGAAGTTTATAGCCTCCTTTCCGGAAGTGTTCAGCAGATGAGGAAGGCAAATTTGACATCAGCACTACAAGCTCTTTTTGATGACAGGCATCTTGTAGTGATCGGCCATTTCGACCTTGCGACCCTCGCTTGTAAGTGATCACCAAATAGTATTTCTCGAAATTTTTCTGGTCATTTGCCCAGTCAGATAATTTTAGAGCATTTCACCGATGCACAGTGGAAATCGGAGCCTGTTTGCATCGATGGAGAGAGAGTCAGAATATGTCAAATCGTTGCCGCTCCCTATGTAGGATAGTTTCAAATCCGAATGACACTATATCTACTTCATTAATTTAGGCAGCGTTTGCTCTGGACTCCCTTGGAGTTGTACATCTCTTCATGCTTTCCTCCCACCTGACCATTCGCCAAAAAGTGGAGGTCTATGCAAATCAGGTCCTCATTATGGCTTATCTATCCACACCTCTTTTCATTATAACCACCCTTTCTTCCTTATTATGAAGTACTTTAGCGATGGTATCCGATGGTAGGATGGTCTTCTCGTACTTTGCCAACGGACAGAGCCTCATTCACCAATGAGGATGGTACCAAGTCAGGAAAAATGACTGGATTCCAATTAAAGTCAGAAGGCTGGCGTTGGGAGGAACCTTGGATTGTTGACATAGATCTGCGCAGACATGATAAGGAGGTAGGGTTCTTTTTTGGGAACCATTGCTCATTCGTGAACTTTTTTATCTGAAGGGGTGGGAATACGCAACAAATTTTGGTGCGACGTGGAAGCCCGATAATGGAGTCGGAGTATTTGTCCGCAGGAAGCGATGGAAAAGACATATGCGCTATACAAGCATAGAAAAATGGGCAGAGGTAGGGTCGTTAAGAGAAGTAATATATTTTCACTAAATTTTTTGTAATATGCAGATTCCACAAAGTAGCGGGACCATTGTTGAGTTGGCTATAGGTGGATTCGACATACTGCCTCCGCAAGAGTGCCTTCTCATTGCTTTGTCAAAAAATGGGAAACTGCTGAGGTATCTACTCTCTTCTCATTTTGCTTCCTCTTAGGATATCAAAACCTCCCCGTGACATACCATAACATTTTTACTTATACTGCTACGAAACTTGAAGTTTAGGAGAGTGGGAATTCATGCTAACAATCCAGATGGCGACTGCTGGCAGGAGATAGACGGTATCGTGACAGATGGTAAGTAATCAATCGCAAATCTTTACAGTTTTACTTCAACTAAAGACCCATTTTCAGAAGAGAGAGAAGAACCATCAAAG